GGGGGACACAGCTCATCATCAGCCTCCACGTGGATGTAGAGCCATTGACCACAACCTTCTGGCTGCAACCTTCCAACTAATTCCTTACTCACCAAATAATCCATCCTGTCTCTCCAATTTAGAGATGAGGATGTTGTGGGGGACCATGTCAAAAGCCTTGCAGAAGTTTGGGTTGATGACATCATTTGCCTTCCCTTTGTCCACAGAGACAGTCAATCATTTAAGGCCACCAGTTTGTTCAGACACAACCATCCATTGGTGAACCTATTGGCTGTCTCAGATCACCCATTGGTGCCTCATGTGTCTTAACATCTCTCCCAGGAGGATCTGTTCCATGATCTTCCCCTGCACAGAAATGAAGCTCACCAGCCTCTGGTTCCCTGAGTTCTCCCTCCTCCTTTGTTGTTTTTTTTTTTTGTTTTTGTTTTTGTTTTTTTGTAAATGGGAATGGTGTTTCCCTCTTTCTAGTCCAATAGGGGCCTCACCTGACGACTTTTCAGATGTGATGGCAAGTGACTCAGCAACTATATCAGCCAACTTGCTTAGGACCTTGGGTTATATATTGTCCTTCCCCATGGAACTGTTTTCTTTCAGTCTCATGAGTAGGGCTTGGACTTGCTCTGCCCTTATAGAGAAGTAAATTTTCTCCCCCATTTCCCACCTAGAGGTTCAGGTTCAGAAATATGAGGCTCAGGGATGTGCGAATCTTGGCTGCCAGTGAAGAGGCAAAGAACTCATTGGTACCTCAGCCTTCTCCATATCTGTTGTGTCCAGTTGTCCTTTCTTACTTAGCAGAGAGAGTATGTTTTCTTTGGCCTGTCTTTTCTACCTATGTACCCATAGAATTCCTTCATGTTGTTTTTAAGATTTCTTGCCAAGTTCAGTTTCATCTGCGCCTTGGTTTTCTGATCCCATTTCTGCAAGTCTGAACAGTATCCTTGTATTCTTTTCAGGTGGCACACCCTTGCTTCCAATATCTGTACTCACAGACTTTGAGTTCTTTTCCCTCAGTTTGACCAGCACGTCCTTGCCAAGCCATGCTGGTTTCCTGTCTCCACTGTCCGCGTTCTTATTCTGAGAGGTGAAGAGCTCTTATGCTATCAGAAGGGCATTTTTAAAGAGTAGCCATCTTTGTTCCATTCCTGCCTCTAAGGACTTCTTCCCATGAGATCTCATTCAACAATTCCTCAAACACCCCAAAGTTTGCTTTCTGAAGTTCAGAGTCCTGACTCCACTCTTTGCCAGGCCCATGTTTCTTGAGATCATGAACTCAATCATGGCATGGTCGCTGCAGCCCACGCTGCCTCCAATCTTGATATCTTTAATGATCTCCACATTGGTGAGCACCATGTCCAGCAATGCTTCACCTCTGATTGGTCTGTCCAATATCTGAACCAGAAAGTTATTGTCAATGGGCTCCAGGATTCAGCTGGATTGCTTGCAGCTCACCGTGCTGTCTTGCCAGTGGATAGCTGGGTGGTTGAAATCCCTCTTCAGGATGAAAGCCTGTGAGCATGAAACTTCCTGTAGCTGACACAGGAAGGCCTCATCAACAGGTTGGCCTCTTAGTTGGCCCGTAGTAGACCCCCAACCACCACTGTCCTTTATTGGTCCCATCCATAATTTTAACCTGCAGGCTGTCCAACTGTTCCTAACTGTTTCTCTGAAGGAGCTTCTTGCAGTCTATCCACTCCTTAACATTGAGAGCAACTCCTCTGCCCCTTGTATTTTGCCTTTCCTTTCCAAAAAGCTTATAGCCATAAGTGGTGGAGTTCCAGTTATGTGAATCATCCCGCCATGTTTCTGTGATGGCAATAACATCAACATTTTCAGAGTGCATCACAGTTTCCAACTCTCCTTGATTATTTCCTATGCTGTGTTCATTAGTCTACTGTCTCTTCAACTATGCTTTTGGATGCAGTGCCTTCCTGGAGGAGTCGTTCAACTGGTCAGTTCTCTTCCTTCTGCTCAGATCCCTGTTTCCCACTGGGAGGACAGTGAAGAACACCACTTGTGCTCCTGACCCCTTCAACACCTTCCCAAAGGAAGCAATCTTCTTTGGATATTTTTTTTGCTTCCTGGTTGCAGGCTCATTCTTCATATACAGCTTTTATAAGGCTTCAGCATACTTTTCATATATCTGCTAATTTTTCATATATCTAGTAAGTCTGAATAGTCTACTGTTCATGTTTTAATTTGTGTGAAAGTTCTGAAAAACCATTGTTGTGGTGCTTTAATGAATTGCCTTATTCTGTCCATGCTGTCTGAATATTCATGTGTTGTTTTTCTTAACTCTTCTTTAGAATTTCAAGAAAAGTGAAAGCATAGACTAAGTTTCATTTACATTAAAGAGTCTGTATCTTGGGCTTGAGAACACTATTGCTTTATTTCACTACAGTAATTGAATTCTGTTTTCCTTTCCAGATATTTCAGTACTCTAAAGCCAAATGTAATTCATGGTATGACTAACCTAGAACAAGAACACAGATTGGTAGTGACTTTTGAATTGAAAAATGGAATGCTTGAGATGAAAATCTGGGTTCAGTCCTGGGGATTTAAGGGATTTCAAAGGACTTTCTATATCCTTTAAACAATTTAACATTTTGCCACTGTGTAGAAGCTTGTAAAGTACTTTAAAATCAGTAGATGAGGAAGAAAAAAATGACTTTGAAGTATTATTATCTGGATAATTTAGGATGATTATTGTTGTGTAAGTGATCCCAATGAGATGTCATCATTTGCAACAGTTTCAGAGGTTTCCAATTCAACTACTTGTCTCCAAGTTAACTTTAGCACTAATGTGAAGTAGGCATTCCTCTGTCAAGACAAGGAAATTCTGGATGTACTTTGAAAAGTTATTTAAGTGACTTGGGAATATTAATATTGAAAAAGTAAGAGACCTAGTGAGGTTAGTCAGCTCCAGGCATAGACAATATCTGAATCAACAGATTCAGGCATGTATCATGGGCTTTAGACACTTAATGATGTAATTACTGATCTTTTTCAGTGTGGCAAAAGGGTTTCCATCCCATTCTAGCCCTTAAGAGTTTGTTTTTACCCTCTCAGTTCTCCTATTCCTCAGAATAAGTGATGTAAGCATTTCCAGGGGTGCTTTCTAAACTGGGTCTGTGAAATTATCCGTGTTAGGAGTTTTAGGATGGACTTGTTTTACGCTGTTGGTGTAGTTATGGCTGATCTCCACAAGCAATTGGAACCACTGGGAAGACAACAGTGAGCTGCAAACAGAGGAGCAAGTTGTTGAGGCAGGTCCATGGGAAACTGAAAATGCCTTCTGCTCTACAGCAAGGTCCATGAAACGGTATCTGAGGCGCTTCAAAATGGGGTCTGTAAAATGGTACAGTGAGCTAAGCAGCAGCTAATAAGCATTTCAAAACTATGTTCTCAACCCTTGCCAATCTTGTTGAAAGGTTCAACTCGCCTGTCACTGTCCTGAACTCTCCTGTTCTTGTCTCTGATCCTCTCTCTTTAATAGAACAGTGCTGACTTTAAAGGGAAGTAGAGACTGATGAGGGAAGGTCCTTCCCAAACAAAATCCACATCTGTTGTAGGAAGGATCTGTTAGGCAATGGATTCAAATGAGGATGAGCGTCTGAAGTGAATTGTTTTGAACTGTGCTGTTGACTGGCATGCAGGCAGAGTGCTTTATCTTAGGTGTGATGAAACACTGTATATGTTTGTCTTCCAAATGGACCCAGTAACATGGAAAAACAGAATGAATCACAGAATGGTTTGGGCTGGAAGTACATTAAAGATCTGGTTCCCACTCTCTGCCACAAGCAGAGCTGTCATGATTATCTGGAATCTTCATGACAGTTGAGCTTACCCTGAGAAAGGCCTTTGATGTGCACTTTTTTTCTTTCTCTTTCCTGAATTTTTCTATTTTTCTGTTTCCAAATTTGGCTCCTTGATCATGTTCAAGTCCTTTAGTTCTTGGACGTGGGTATGAATCTGCTGAGAATCACTGCTGTCTTTCAGGGGAGATTATGGAGTTACAGTTGTAATGTGTTATCCTAAATGACAAGTATGCTGAAGTTATTTGTAATTTACTTTGTAACAAAATACACGGTTATTTCATATGGTGACCAATCTGTAACAGAGATAGAGTAGGGTTTCATACCTATGAATTTTTTATTTTGCTTACCTTTTAATGCATGTTTTATAATATATAGTTTTTTTTGTTAAGCACCCGTATGACACTGGGGTAGGTGGATCTTTACTGGGTTTCGTTATGTCTGTTTTTGTATTACAATAAATATTTGCATATAAGTTATCATATAGTTATTATAGTTATTATATAAGTTATTATATAAGTAGCTACATCCTTTCCCGATATGAGAGAATACTAACTTAATTAGAACTCTCTCCACTATTTAAATTGAAAAATACATAATGTATAAATGTGGCAACTAGTTAGCGATTAACATGCAGAAAGTTAGATGCAGAGATTGTATAAAATTGCTATTAAGAAACATAGAGATAATAGAACATATGATATGTGTTATTGTTATAAATCAGAAGGAGACAAGCTAATATGAATTTATTCCTGTTTTTTTATTTTTCAGAAATCTCTTGATGTATACTGTAAATTCTAGTAGAAATGTTGTGTTTCTCTAGGTAACAGTAAATTAAAATGAGCATGTGTGTACTGTACAGCCACCAGTGGAGATGAAAAAGGATTCCTTTAGTTAAAACTATCATACACTGAATTTTGAACTACCTTTTAAATACTTAAACTGTCAAGCAAGCATTTTGTACAGGAAAGGTTTTCAGTATGTAATTCCCTAATGTACGTCAGTTAACGCTACAACACTTTCCTAAATTTGAGTCTCTAGATGAAGTGTATTTTCCTAGTTGTACATTTTCCTTCTGCGCATTTATTTCAAATGTTAATAAAGTTTTCATCTACAGAAGGGTTAGAATTGACAGAACAAAACTCTTCCTTTTTAAATCATGACAACTACTACTGTTTCTGTCTGCAGGTAGTGGAGGACATGCTAGAGGACGAGGAAGAAGAGGATGACAGAGATGACAAGGTAATTATCTTTCCTAGCACTTGGGTACCTGGGGATGGGAGAATTTAGACATGACACTGTTTTTACAGACAGTTAAAAGAGGAGTTGAAGTGTTTTAGTCCAGAAAATTGGACAGAGCTGTTTATCATCCTAACAATGCTACTGTGTATTGCAGGAAAGGATAGAGGACTATAAATCCTGCCTTTTTTATTTTATTTTTTTTTTTCTTGGTCCAGAGCTGGGTCAAATATTTTTTCTGCCAGGAACAAAAATAATTCAGCTTGTCTGGAACTTGATAGCTCTTGTGAAGATAACTGCAGTGACAACTGTTTTTGAAGGACAAAAATTTGTCCTGTCTTGAGTATTACAAATAGGGCTGCACTTCAGGGGGAAAGTGGTGTAAAAATAGCAACTCCATACTGGTTAAAGACAGGATATTGACATCTATAATTTTCAAAGGATTACTTGGTAGAAGAATGGCTGAAATGTTTTGCACTCTGTATGACATTTAAATAATCACAATTCTCATAGGTGTCCATTTGATTTGAAACTGGAGTTGTGGCCTAGCAAGCTGGGAAACTATTGCAGATCATTTGGCTATTTGAGGAAACGTGGTTCACTTTGGAGGTTGCTGATTGGGTTGAAGATTGCAACCACAGTAAATAACAGCTCATTTCCACATCTTATTGAGCCAAGCTATGGGACTGCTTGGATTGGTTGTCCCCCAGGGAGAAGGGAAAAACGGAGAGAAGAAATTAGAATGACCTTGCACCACGAAAGCAATGGCTAGCACTGGCGGGACAGCTTTCTGACAAAACAAGTACAGAGCAGAGAGTCCTGTCGTTTCTGGTATTTTCATCCCAGTGAGATGATATCTGTGAAAGAAAAGGAAAAAAGAAAAGGAAAAAAAAACCCACAATTTTACAAGAACTCTAAATTAAAATAAAGGTTTTTTTGTCCTTCATAGATTTTTCCCCACTTACAGAAAGTTATAAAAATGCAATGATTTTTTTTTTTTTTTTTAGAGGAGAAAAAACAATATATCTTAATTTATGTCCTTGACCTTTGTTTCTAGTTGAGATGTACAGTTATATACCAAGAATTCATATGCTGGCAGCAGCATTTGAAATGTCAGAAAATTCATTGTGATTAGTTAATCCCCTGAATTATTATTTTTCTGTTAGCTAACACCTAAGATCTGAGAAATGATAAAAAAAAAAAGAATGTATTTTCCTCATTCTGTTGCCAGCTCAAACATTTTACAACTGACAGAAAGATATTATGTGAAATTCTTCTATACATCACTTAAATCGTTAGCTACATCATTTCACAATTGGCAAACACTGCAGCAACAAAACCTTCTTTTACGAAACACGTAGGTGATGGTTTTTAACACTAATGATGTGAGCATGCACTTCTGGCAATAAAATATATGATTTATTGCAAAGGTCAGCTGTGTAGCTTGTATTTTAACGCAACATGCTGGCTTTGAATCATCATTTCTCTTCTGATAAACACCGATCTGCCATCCATTTGAGGCCATTTTCTCCTGTTTGCTTCTGCTTTATTATTAGAGCTAGCGCAAAAGTACAGTCCCAGCAGTGTGTGTATTCCTGGATATTTTAAATAACTGTGATTAGTTCACAAAAAATAATGCTTGACTGCTTCTGTAGTTTAAGTCAGCCTGTGTGGTAACAGCCTAGTTGTTTTAGAAATTGCTAAACAAACTCCTTAAGAGAGGATGGTGAGGGTGGGAGCAAGCCCCCTCTCACTAGCACGCCCATCCGGTTTTGTGGCTATCAGCAGATGCCAGGCAGGCATACCCAGTTGGAAGTACCACTCGAGGTTTCAGTGTCATGATCAAGTATTTAGCTTTCTCAAAGTGACAACAGAATTTGTATATATTTCTAGATACAATTACCAACACTGAATAAAAGTAAGTACTTGCATTGGCATGTACATTTAGTGAGCTTTTTTACTGAATATTTAAGAAGTGTCTTTCTACACAGAAGGTGTTTAGGAATATTTTTATGAATTCAAAGCTGTCTCCATTACTGTAAACATTTTGAGCTCTCATAACTGAATACGCTGTATGAGCAGAAAATTACACTTCTTAAAAATGTGTGGACTTCCATGTATATTCACAGTTCCTCACAGTGGACATTATTTAGCACTGGGCTAGATTATAAGTGCATCATTCAAACTGAGCTTTCTGTGGTTAGATGTGTGTTAGAGTGGTTTTTTCCTTTGTGGTGCACTCAAACGTGCCCTGTCAACTACTGCTGGTCCTTTTGCATCCTTCTGTCAAAACGTAAAGAGTGCCATTTCATATTATTTTAATTTATTTCTGTGTTGTCTTAAAGCTGCGTGCAGAACAAAATTTGGTGAGAAAACATGCGTGTGTTTTGTAACACCAGCTGGTAGTGACCTTTGGCTTTTATTATTTCTCTGTTTCTTCATACAGTAAAATAGAAAAGTTAAGTCAATGAGTCTTCTGATGTGATAAAAGTAAGTAGATTAATAAATGTGCCTAAGCCTCACTTTAATTGAAAATGAAGCGTATGTTGCCAGTATGTAAAATATGTCCCAGATGTTTGACCATGGCTAGTGTCCTAGCTTTCCTTGATTACCACGAGGGAGTTATTAGTCCTGTAACCTTTGTACTTAATGGTGAATGGGGTTTTACGTGGCACAGAACAGGAGCACCTGTTTTCTATTCAGCAAAGACCCCTGCCAGGCTTTACCTAAGCCTATCCATACGTTTTCACTTAGCAGATTGTTGGGTGATTATGAAAAGTGTCTTTCTATAGAGCCAGCTTAGCTATTAGTCATTTGCTCACAATGAAAGGGCAGCTCCTCAGCTACTTGATGAGGTCCATGTGAGCATGCGCTGATGTAGGTTGTGGGACGTGCAACAGAGGACTATCACTTGACACTCCAAACTGCACAGCTACAAAAGTAATAAACTGAGGATGATATATAGTGGAGTGCATGTAATTAGTTAAAGTAATGTGTTATTCCAGTGGTATTGTATGTATTGCTGAGAGGAGTTTGACAGGGTAGATAAACACCATGCAATTTGCTTAGTCTCATTCTAATATTCTGGATTTTATTAACTTTAAAAAAAACAAACAAACAAACAAACAAACAAAAAAAAAACTCTGCTGCAATTAAGTTAGACAGTATTGTCAATTCAAGGTCACAGGATGTGTTTTTGACTGGGGAATATTAATTTTCATCTTCAGTTTCAATATGACTAGTTAAAAATGGATAGTATACTTTTTGCTATATCAGTTACAAAGTAGTGTTTAAGGTGGAAAATACTCTTTTTCTAATTTTGTTTGTCACATCATGTGTCTAGGAACTGAGATTTGTTTGGCTCAGGCATTTGTCATAGGTTTAATACTAGTTTCCAAAGAAATTGCACTAGATTCTTCATTCCATATGTTCTATATGTCTTGCTAAACCTGTGCTAACCGCAGATTTACAGTTTAATCTGATTTCTTTCTCCTCTCCCTCCTTACTTTTTGGTTCCCTTCCAAACACTGGCTTTCACACTACCTTAGCACAGAGGGTAGCTGATTTACTGGAAGTCAAGTTATTAACAATCTACCAAAATTTTTTTAAACAGTTATATAATAATAATGTAATGGTCAGTAGGCATAATCTATATATGTAATAAAGATTTTAGTTTGTCATTTTAGAAGTTCAGGTGCTTTATTCTTTGAAAAAGTTCCTCATAAGATTTCAGATATTCACGAAGAATTTCAGCTCAGCATTGTGTGGGAAGCACACAGCAGGCCACAGAATTGATCCAGCAAGAGACACTACTATTGTGGATTTTAATGGAGGAAGATTCATGATATAAACCCTATCCTATTTTAACATTTGGTTGACAGCAACAATATTTTATTAATACAGAATATGCAAATCATTTGCACTTTCAGCTATTCTCTCTTTAGGCTTCCATTCTTTCAGAAATATTTTGCAATGTTCTTATGCTTCAAGATCACTTTTGTAGCTTTTGTAAATGAAAAAAAGTTGAGTCAACTTAAAGTCTTTCTAAAACTTGTAATCATCTTGGCCAAGAGGTAACAGCCTTGTTTTCAAGGCAAGATACATTCATAAAACATCCCCTGCATTTTTTACCATGACTAGATCACGAAGAATAGGTAACTCCACTATAGCAGATTGTATCCTATAAAAGATAAGATTGCAGTTTATTGTAGTCGTAGTCAGTTCCTATAAAATAAATAGTGGAAAAACAATAAAGGAACAGGTAGTGAGTGAAGTAAAAAGAGAAAATTCCAAAATGTAACATATAGGTACATTGGTTAAGCTGCAGTTTTATTCCACCATTAGAATGATGCATTCATGAAACATACAAACACCAACTGTAAATACTGAAATGTTAAGAGTTTCCATTCAAACTGTAACGGCATATGAAACTGCAGTCCCCTGAAAACTTTGCTAGATTGTCAGTACTTAAGAAACAAACCTAGAAGTGATCAGTCTGAAAAAGCAGCAAAAGTCAGTGCAGTTTGTTTTAGCTCAGTTTAATTATTCACAGAGAGGCAGTGGTAAAGATTGTGATGTTTGTATCATGGTTCTATGAAGTTGCATGAAGGAGGGATGATAGGTTGGCTTCTTCAGGGCATAAACTGGAATATCAGCTGATTCTATTTTCTGATCTTTCAGTCATCCTACCTCTGAGCTTGCCATAGCCTGGATGTATCGTATATCACGTGGACCTTTCATATAGGCACTTCCCCAAAAATCAATTTCATTCTACTCAGGAAAGGGCATCAAATAGACTTCGTGATCGGAGTATGCACCTTTGCAAACACATGACTGAAAGCCACCTCACAAATTGAGTTTTAGCAAGATCAGGCTGTTTCTCTCAGTGCATTCTTGCAATGCTATCAAAATTAGTGGAGTAAAGCAAATTAATAAGATCAGAATCTGAGATTTGTCTTTGGTGCCCAAGGTGTGTGAAATTGTCTCTGGAGGACTGTGAGTCT